ATAGGCTTAGCTTGAACTGGAAGTTGAATACTTAATAACATTTAATACTTATTAGTATTTGATAATAATTAATTATGAAGTACGAAGCTTCCAGAACGATGCATGTGAAACAATTTCAAAGGAGAGTAAAAAGTTTACATTCTGTTCTTTAAGAGTCCGTGTCACGGAATGTTGTTTCATAGATAAAACATGAGTTACTAAGTCTGTTTTTCTCATATTTCAGCAACCTTCGTTAGGCTTAGCTCAATGAAGATTTGAAACACAGCTGATAGTGAGAGTAAAAATTCAACAGCGTTAGAATACCCATAGAGGCGACACAAAAATCAATAATAAAAATAAACAGGTTACCGATCGCCGTCTTTTATTATAAACTAAATGACGACGTTTCGAATAATTGTGTTTAGTCATATTAAAGTACAAACTCATAATTTAGTTGAAATTTGATCACCTACTTTATAATTTAAAAAAAAATGGCGATTGGTAACGTGTTTACTATATTATGAAATATTCTAAAGAGCATGATGAGTGCGTCACCTAGGTTCTTAATTATACAAAGCTTTATTGTTATATAAAGCATAATGAGTGCGAAACAGAAGTACGCCTAAACAAAACTTTCTTAAATATTCCAATGATGATTACGAGTCCGACATAGAGGAAATACGTGATATACAAAACTTTTTTAATAAATACTCTAAAGAGTATGATTAATGCGACACAAAATTGAGTTATATACAAAAATGCAGAAATAAACAAGAAGGCCAACCTAACTCATTAACCAAATATATTTTACTCTTGTAAATCCCTTGAATAAATGAAAGCTTAGTATCAGTTGAGGGTCCTATTAAGTTAGTCAATAATATCAGAAGTAACTTTTCGTAGAAAAAAATGGTTTTACTGGCATAAAAAAAAAACGTTTCGACCCAAAGTAGAGAGTCATTTTCAAGTTTCCATTACAGTCAAATAATACATGGCAAGTACAAATTACAAACAATACGTACATATATGTGAAGTAAATAACGTAATTTATAGATGGCGCTAGAGTTGGAAATTAGTAAGTAAAAGTATTATTGGTAAAAGGGTAGAAATATATAAATTTATTTAATAAATAGATAGAAAGGAGATTTTGTATATTTATTGATATGAGTTTCATGTTTTTAACAGTATGGCGTCAGCTGTTTTTCTTCAGTTGAAATTATAATTAAAGAATGAATAATTTGACATAATGAAGCGATTTTCCAGAGGTACTTGATATATTTTGGATAATCCATAGAGTTGAGGATTTTATCTTTAGAACATTTATCCAGGTTTTTAACTTGTGACTAATGCAATCTTCATTCTTATATGAGTTATTTTAGAATTTTTCTCATTATTATTGTTAGTGTTATTGGATAGATAAATAAAAAATAGAGCTTTGAATATTTGGTGGGATCACTTAATCCTATGTTCATTAGCAATTTATAATTATATTTATAATTTTTATTGTGTGATAGAACCAGTTTTAAGTTTGGAAGGAAAAACACCTTGTATGGCTTGATCTGAAGGACTTTGAATAATATGTTGTCATGGAGATCTGTTTTTTCACATATATAGATGAGTACGTCATATTAAAAAGGTATATTTTTTGTCGTAAGCTTGTCCTTCATAACTATACAACAGTGTCTAAGTGGTATTTCTATAGGCAGTCATGAGGCATTACGTTTAACGCTGAAAATACCAAACCAGGTCTCTAAGTTAAATATTAAAAACGTTAGACAAAATAAGAGTGATTTTATGTTTTGCAATGGTTCTAGTATGATGATCGTAACTTTGACCAACGACTAAATGCGCGCAAGCTGTACCTAAACACATAGTGGTTAATTGTTTGAGAATGCGCAAGCTGTACCTAAACACATAGTGGTTAATTATTTGAAAAAGCGCGCACGCTTGTACCTAAACACGCAATGGATAATTGTTTGAGAATGCGCGCAAGCTGTACCTAAACACATAGTGGTTAATTGTTTGAGAATGCGCAAGCTGTACCTAAACATATAGTGGTCTTTGATATTTGGTGCTTTTCAAATGAGCCCTCTTTTTTTATTTCAGAAATAATATTTTTATTCTCTCGATCATGGATTGCTCTTACACTATTTACGATGCTATAGAAGTTGTGATACGAAGACATATGGAAATAATTGAGCTATCACAAGCTTCGGTTACTAACTCTTATAAAAAATTTAAAAATATATGACAAGTGGGTTTTATTACCAACAGAAGATTTGTAGAGAAACTGGGAATTTTTTTATCATTTTTCGTTTATGTTGAAATAGCAAGAAATAAACACAAACATGAATTGTGGCTATCTATCTATTTATTCGTCTATCCATTCAGCTATCTTCTTTCTATCTACTTATAAAATCGGCATGTTTCTTCTAATGTGCATGTCTTAGGTGATCTTACAAAAATAGTTCATATGAAACAATATGAAGAAGTCATATTTCGGCAAGTCTTATTTACGTTGTATTTTCTGCATCCAAACAAAGGCAGTATTATGAACATATGCCATTTCCAGAATACTTATTTTATATTGTCTTTCTTGCATCCAAACAAAGGCAGTTTTGTAAACATAAATATGCAGACACGTGAGATCTTGCTCAAATAACAAATGTTTAATAAAAAAATATCACAGTGAATTTACTACATGGTTATTTCACTTTTCATTTCACAAGTTTTAGGCCCCAGTACCTGAACCAAACAAAGGCAGTACTGTAAACATAAATATGCAGACACGTGAGATCTTGCTCAAATAACAAATGTTTAATAAACAAATATCACAGTGAATTTACTCCATGGTTATTTCACTTTTCATTTCACAAGTTTTAGGCTCCAGTACCTGAACCTACGATAGATGAGTTTTCATGCATAAAGTTTCAGTTAAGTAATAATATTCCCCTTTAAACGTCCTCTAGTGTACAATAATTAAAACATCCAATTTAAAGTAGAGCTTTAAGGTATGGAAACTGAGAACACGTGTTATAGCTAGTTAGTTAGCTGGAAAGATATATACATTTTAATATTTTTTTTACGAAAAACATCTAAACTAACTTTTACAAGTTTGACACACACACACACAAAAAACAATTTTTACAGCAAGAACGAATGTACTTTTCATTACGTTATAATAGAACTATTATAACCACATTACGTAATATTTACAAGTAAATATTACATACTCACACATATATAAAATGGACGCCATATTTTTGATTTTTTCACAAAATAAAGTCATGACTTCTTTTATCGATGACCAGTAGCTTGAAACTTATAATTGCAAAATGTTCGATTGGTAGTTTTAAATATTTTTGTTATGAATTATCACAAATGCCTAACATAATTGAACTCATTAAGCACGATCTACGAGACAGACACAATGGCATGCACAAGGGGGGCAAGCACCCCTCGCCATAGCCTTATGCATACAGAATTTACCATTATGGTAGGTGTGTAGTCGTTTATTTCTACACATATGTTGCATATTTATGTCTTGATATGTGTTATACATATTATATATATATAATATGTTTGTGTTTAATGTGCACCCCTCCCACCCAATAACGGTCAATTTTAAATTCCTGCGCACGACCTTAAACAGGTGTATTGAAAAACAGATAAAACACAGCACGTTCTTTATGTGAAGATTATTAAATTGACTTTACGTCCAAAGACACAAAACCTAATTAAATAACCTGTCCTGCAATCTGAATATTTTCTAACTGTACTGATCCATCAACTATGGATCATTAAGTTAACCCTGGAATTACCGACTTATATTAACATCTCTACTGTTGTTGGGATCCAAATATTTTTTAGTACTTTTATGTTTGGCTTGTTGCTAAATGTAAAGAAATTACTAAACAGCATTGGGTAAAAACCGCTCATCTTCTACGTGAATTACATAGAGAACTCAAGCAGCAGCTACAGTTGGATTAATGCAATATTGGTGGTATTTTTGTTTAATTTCTTTGTGTTACTCATAAGCTATTATAACTCTGTTAACAGAAGCAAGGCCTGGCATGGCTAGGTGGTTAGGGCGCTCGACTCGCAATCTGAGGGTCGCGGGGTTCAATCTCCATGCCAATTAACATGCTCGCCCTTTCAGTCGTGGGGGCGTTATAATATGACGATCACTCTCACTGTTTGTTTGTAAAAGATTAGCCCAAGAGTTGGCGGTGGGTGGTGATGACTAGCTGCCCTCCCTCTAGTCTTTCACTGCTAACTTAGGGACGGCTAGCGCAGATTGTCCTCATGTAGGTTTGCGCAAAATTTAGTGCATAAATTGTATTCTTGCGTACAGCTTCATTTTGAAGATGAAGTAATTTGTGAAAACAATATGAAAACAATATAAACTCTCCTATTTTGAAAAAAGAACATAGATTTTTCGTACGCATAAGTTACTTTTTCTCTTCTTTACTACCCTCAAGCAAGTAAGCGGACTTTATTTTAAGTTCTGATAATTCTACAAACAGGTTAATAACGTGATAGAAGGCAGACTTTTTATAATCTTAAGCCTCACTAGGAAGCAAAGCAGTGTGTAATAAACATGTATTTTCTTTATTTGAAATCGGTGAAATAACAGACACCAATACTCCACAACTACGTTTCATGTGTATGTGTTTTCTTAATTACTGAGACTTTTTAAGTATTTCCTTTTGAATGAGGGCAAATATAGGCTTTAAAACCATGGTGTATATATATATATATATATATACGTTATATTTCACACACACACACACACACACACACATATATATATATATACCAATGTATGTGTTAATATTGTATCTGTGTTCTCAGGTGAAGAGAATAAAAAAAAGTGTTTCTCTACAAACTCAAGTACAAACACGTACCGTGTCTGAAGCCAGACAACTGCTGGATCCACTGACCAATCCCTACTTACCTTTTGGACGCTACGGCAATAGGCAACCAATAGAATCCCGTGTTTTGCTGGCGTCGCGGCACTGCTTGTCTCTTATTCTCCATTAGTTTACGCACTGAAATCCCCATATGTATCTCACCGTCGATTCCTTGAAGTCGTACCTGTGAGAGTGTCTTATAAACCACATTTCTTTCACCAATTCACTGATCGCTAAGCATGGTAAGTGGGCTTTTAATATATATATATATATATATTTCATTACTAATATAAAAGCTCAAAAACCAACTTTAAATATCGTCACATCAAAACATTCTTGATAATACAACATTTCATTGTGTTTAATTCATATTAAAGTGTTAAATATCTACAATGTGTAAACTATTGGGTTAAGTTTGTTTGTTTGTTTGAAGTTAAGCGTTGTAAGTCCTCAGATATACCGCTGTGCCACTAGGGGGCTCTGGGTTAAGAAGAATGTTTGTTACTGCAGGACTTGCTATACGTAACTTTTTCAGTTTGAAAAGAACAAGCTTATTGGTGACGTCTTCATAATGACTGGAAAGATCATACGTGTTTTTTTTGTACTTTTGAAATGCGTAGTTTTTCCCTTGATGACATTTGGGCTCATGAAAAAAAGTAACAATAAGGGACGTTTTATTCCTGAAAAGAAGAAAATAAAAGAATATATGTGTGTGTATGTTAAAAAGTATGTTTTATTATTATTAATAATATGAATTGTAATTAGGCCTTTGAGCCATTTTTTTCGTTGTTGAAACTATAAGTTTCAAACATAAAAAAAAGACTTTTCTTTTTAGATTGACAATTTCAGTATTTTACTTATTTAGTTACCCATATTCCAAATAATTCTAGTATATACAAAAAGTAAACCAATTTTGATTACAGTGTAAACCCATTTCGCATCATTAAACTCGGGTTCACCCCCTCAGAAAAATACTAGACCCCCCGATGGCTCAGCGGAATGTCTGAAGGCTTATAACACTAAAGATCGGGTTTCGATACCCGCGGTTAGCAAAACATAGATCCGAATCTACTATGCAAACTTATTTCCTATGAACACATTAAAAGGCAATTTTGAAAGTTATTTTTTGGTAATATAAAGTTCATGTAAGTCTGTCAGTCTGATATAGAGACTAAATAAATACATTTTCCTACTTGATATAAAACCTGTTTTGTACCAAAAACATCTATAACGGGATGTATGTCGGGATTATGCTTTAGAAACGTTTATGTTATTCACCGTTATAAATATCGACAACGACAAAAAAAAACACTTTATATAATGCATGAGTCAACCGCCAGTTTGTCTCCAGTTCATATCGCCAACAGTCACGACCCAGGTTCTCCATGGATCGATTAATTAGAATTCTAGGTAGACGTATACAAACTCTGCGGTACCGGTTCCTTGTGATAGAAATAATCGATTCTGTCTGTGGTGGTGACGAAAATGTTCATTGTGCGTGGTTAGCAAAGAACGTTGTTTCAAATGAACACGGGCACCCATTTTACGGCCAATGATGTGTATAATGAAGCAGTGTTTAACAAACTAGCTCCCTATATCTAGAGTAATGGAAATAAGATAAAACTGTTTATTTGTTTCAGCGTAATGAAGTTTCATTTAACTTCACGTGTTGCGATTAGTTCAAACAAAATAGTAAAAAATATAAAAAATACTCATATAGCAATCACGCTTTCGTTCAATTCTTGGGCTACTCTTTACCAACGAATAGTTGGATTAGCCTCAACATCATAACGCCCGCACGGCTGAAAGTGTGAGCATGTTTGGAGACGAGATTCGAACCCTAGACCAGCAGGTTGCGAGTCGAGTACCCTAACCACCAAAGAAGTGAAACATAATAAAATAAATAGTCTTTCCTGTTTAATTATATGACTAGGGACAAGCTTTATATCATTTAAAGAAAGAGAAGGTTAGATATAAAAGTGATGGGGTGGGAAACAATGTAGCCGTGACCTTGTGATAAGATACGAACAAATGTAGGGCACTGAGCAACTGAAATTTTTCATAAAAATTAAATGCTTCTAATGCAATTTAATTTATTGTTAACTTTAGGTCCATAAAAACTTAAGCCTAATTACTGACATATGTAGGCATAATTGAAAGCAATAATACGTTGGTAGGAAGCTGAGAATATAATAAAAGCCATTATTTTTCCAGTTTTTCCAAGTCATTTTGGTGACGCACGTAGCTTGAAACTAAAAAGCTAGCTTTAATATGAGTTGTGTAAATCATGCAAAATACAGGATGAGATCATGAGAACGCTTCACAGCTGACGTCACATTTGCCATTAGGCTTAATCACATTGTGCTGAAAAGTAGTCAGTACGGATATCCGATTGAACATAGACGGGTAGGCGGACATGGTAGATTGACCGTGTGGAAATAATTACTACTATTTGTAGAGGGAATAAATAGCTGTTGTGTTTATTGCTGCTTCCAATCTACCAAAATTTAACTCTCAGCCTGTGACGTTCTGGTTAAATATTCACACAATGTGGCGGAAAAATATACATGAGACAAACAATAAAAAATTTCCTGCTGAAGCTTCCCGTTTTAATGATATGTTTTAACTGTTGAAATTTCACCAAAAGAGAATTAATGTTTCACTACTTGCTACTGCAGACGGAATTCATATTGAACATTCACGTATATAATACGTTATCGATTTTTTTAACGACCACAGTTAAAAACCATTTTAATGTACATTAACCTAGCTATATTATGAAAAGTAATATACGCTTGGTTAAAAGTGCATTTAGACCTGTATTTACGTAACACGGTGTATATGTGTATCACGAAATTAAAGAAATGAGGCTGAGCTTTAAATGATAGCTCAAGGTTTGTAAGTAGTTATATAGCTATTTACAAAAAATGACAAAGGCAAAACAAGTTATATAACTACTTACCAAAAAACACGAAATTAAAATAAATGAGGCTGAGCTTCAAATGATAGCTCAAGGTTTGTAAGTAGTTATATAGCTATTTACAAAAAATGACAAAGGCAAAACAAGTTATATAACTACTTACCAAAAAACACGACCACGACATCGTTGTAAACATTCTCTAATTAGAGTTTGTTGAAATATTGTTTAGAGACTAGCCAAAGCAAGTCAGTATAGCGCTTATATATATCTGTAAAGTAATTATTTCAATATTTGGATGTACCAGCAATACGTGCTTGCTATACCTTTCTGTAACATTGGTCTCATTTCACATATCGTCGTCGAGAGAACGACTTTCTCATTTATTCGTAACATTCTAAAGAAGCAAATCCACTAAAGATGCCTAATTATAGTTAGAAAACGGAATGATCTAACTTATATATATTTGTCTGTTATTAGAAACCAAAATTAATTAGTGTTACCAAAACCTGTATAGAAAATGTGGGACTGAACGCTTCATACCGTTAATAAAAATGTTATTTTGATCTGATTTCATTAAAGAAAAATGTACGATTTTTTTTCCAGCGTGAGTGTATCAGTATCCACGTTGGACAGGCTGGAGTTCAGATGGGCAATGCCTGCTGGGAACTTTACTGTTTGGAGCACGGAATCCAACCTGATGGACAAATGCCCAGTGACAAAACCATAGGTGGTGGTGATGATTCCTTCAATACTTTCTTCTCGGAGACTGGAGCTGGCAAACATGTTCCTCGAGCCGTGTTCGTAGACTTGGAACCAACAGTAGTTGGTAAATCCACACTTACTGTTATTTCAAGACGAACTTAATATGGATTCCATATTCAATTATTTCATTTAAGTGCGTAGACAACACTGAGGTTAATAACGTGGTTGATGAACCTTGGCTCATGTTATTTAGTTTATACGTTATTCCATTAGTTCTTATTTTAATTCTGTGTCCGTTCTGTTATTACTCAGTTCTTGCCCTAAGCTAAACTAGAAATAATCACGTCCATTGACCACGGTGTATAACATTTTGCAGAATACAAAAAGCTACTGAGGTAACTATTTATGAAGAATCAGTTTAGAAGTAAATGTATGAATTATTTGGTTACTTTTCTAAGAAAGCTATATCACTAAATTTTGTTTCGTTAAATAATAATTACAATTATTGCTTTGCACTTGTTACTAATTTGTTTTGGGTAGCTTGTATAATGCTTATAATAATTTTGGAAAATGTGTTGATAAAATGCTTTCTACATTTCAGACGAAGTTAGGACTGGAACGTACCGTCAGCTGTTCCATCCCGAGCAGCTTATTACTGGAAAGGAAGACGCTGCCAACAATTATGCCCGAGGTCACTACACTATTGGCAAGGAACTCATTGACCTCGTGTTGGACAGGATTCGGAGATTAGCTGATATGTGTACAGGCCTACAAGGCTTCCTCATTTTCCATAGCTTTGGTGGAGGCACTGGGTCTGGCTTCACTTCTCTACTGACGGAGAGACTCTCCGTAGACTACGGCAAAAAGTCCAAGCTGGAATTTGCTATCTACCCAGCTCCTCAGGTGAGTTAATTACATAATTATCCGACAAGAAAAAATGGCGTAGTTCGACCATTCAAGTAATGTTATTTCTCAAATAATTTGAATTTTGTTTCGGCAATAGTTATATCATTACCTACTTATCGTATATATTTTTGAATGAGTTTGTTTCTCTGTCGAATTTTGCGCAAAACTACTCGACGGATATCTACGCTAGCCTTCCCTATTTTAGAAGTGATAGACTACTAAACTAGGCAACTAGTCAACATCACCTTCCGCCAACTCTTAGGATATTTTTTTTTAACAAAGAAGAATGAAATTGACCGTCACAATGTAATGCTCTCACAGTTCAAAGGCGAATAAGTTCGTAGCGGAATACTATCCTGCGACCCGCAGATTGCGAGTCGAGCGCCCTAACCACCAGACTAGGTCAGGCCGATTTTGAATGAGCATTTCACATGTAAGTACTCAGTTAAAGTTTAAGACAAAATTTTGGTCATGTGGTATGAAAAGATAGTAATTTTTATATTTGTTGAGTTTACTAGTTTCAACGAAAAGTTTTTTCTTCGTGTATTTCACATGTATATTTATTTAAGGATCAGTTGGAAAGAATCGAATGGTTAGAAAATTTAAGAAAATGCTTACTCCAAAAAGAGCTTTGAACTCATAAAAATATCGTAATATAGAATACATTACACCCAACAGAAAGTTTTGTAGTTTAAAGTGAAACCAATCGTGTTTTGGTAACTAGCACAGGTGTTTCTGTGGAGATAATTTGTATAACTAATAACAATAACTCATAACGTTTTACCATAGCGTTATGAGTTTTCATACTAATGCTTTATCAATGTTTCATTACACAAAGTCTTTAAGCTATAATATTTCGGTTGAAGTATCCACCTGTATTTTCAGGTTTCTACAGCTGTTGTGGAACCCTACAATTCTGTTCTGACAACTCATACGACCTTGGAGCACTCAGATTGTGCGTTTATGGTGGATAACGAAGCCATCTATGACATCTGCCGTCGCAACCTGGATATCGAACGCCCCACTTACACAAACCTGAACCGTCTAATCGGTCAAATTGTGTCCTCTATTACTGCATCTCTACGATTTGACGGTGCCTTGAATGTTGACTTGACAGAATTTCAAACAAATCTGGTACCTTACCCGAGGTATATTTATAAAAGATGTATATCATGAATCACTATTAATAATTTATTTGAAATAAGACATGAGATATACACTCGTGGTTCTGTAAAGGCCAATCGAAGATAATACAAGAAGCTCTTCTGTCTACTTTATCGTTTTTTGTTGTTGTTTTTGTATTCGTAAAATTCTGCATTACGAATTTAGTAGAATAACAGCCAACTGGCTGAACAAGCTTCATTTGTAAAATATAATTTATGTTGTTTATTTGTAATTAAGCACAAAGATACACTATGCTCTACCCACCACGGGTATCTAAACCCGGTTTCTAGCGTTGTAAGTTGGCAGATGTTGTTGTTGTTTTTTCGTAAAATTCTGCATTACGAATTTAGTAGAATAACAGCCAACTGGCTGAACAAGCTTCATTTGTAAAATATAATTTATGTTGTTTATTTGTAATTAAGCACAAAGATATACACAATGCTCTACCCACCACGGATATCTAAACCCGGTTTCTAGCGTTGTAAGTTGGCAGATATACCGCTGTGCCACTGGGGAGCAATATCATTTTAGATATTCTAGTAAAGGTAGCTTTTTTACGCTACAGCAATGTTAAGCGAAAAAAGCATATTTTACCGGTTTTGTTTTGCTAGGCTCTCAAGTCAAGTATTTCCGCTCTTAACAATAAAGATTTCTGCTGAATAGTACGATATATAATTTGGGCTTACGAACGCGAATTATAAAAATGAAATATATCTGAAATGCTGCAGAATTAAATTGTAATTTGTATCATTATTATCATTAAAAATGGATAGTCAAAATTAACTTTAAAGAATTCGTTATACATTGATTAAAAATCTATTGTTTTTATATCGTTGTTAGTAGTTTCGTTGCTGAACTTGTCTCTTTCAGTTCCGGTTTAAGGTTCAAACTTTCGTAGTTCAACAGTCTATCGTCCAAGCAATTCAAAGTTAGTTCGTAATGAATACTATTTTTACTTAGCAAAATGTAGATTTTAATATCATTGTTAATAGTTTCGTTGTTTTCTCTACCATTGTTAATTGTTTTCTTGTTTTTTATATCATTGTTAATAGTTTCGTTGTTTTCTCTACCATTGTTAATTGTTTTCTTGTTTTTTATATCATTGTTAATAGTTTCGTTGTTTTCTCTACCATTGTTAATTGTTTTCTTGTTTTTTATATCATTTTTAAGAGTATCGTTGTGTTTTATATCATTACCTTCGCCCCCGGAGAGGGGCGAGAGTAATGTAATCGGGTCCGTGTGTATGTGTTCGTCTGTGTTTTCGCGAGCTTATCTCAAAAACTAATAAACCGATGCAAACTAAAATTTTATACAAAATAAGAAGTCAGTATGGGATAGTCCTCCCCATATTTGGTCCGGATCCATGATAGGTATCTGGATTCAGGATCACTTTGAAAAAAAATTTTTAAATGGGAAGATAGGGCATTTTCGCGGTTTTAGGTTAATAACTCTGTAGCGTGTAATCGAATTTCTACTCAATTTTTGCGGTTTTAGGTTAATAACTCTGTAGCGTGTAATCGAATTTC